CTGGATGTGGGTTGTTGTCGAATTAAATATTGGCATGGCCATTAGATGACAACAAAATTGAACTTGAAATTAATTCTGCAGTAGTTCTGTGATTAATGATGAGTGTATGCTTCATGCTGATTAATATAATCATGATTGTGTGTATTTTATTTGAATTTATGTCTCCATCGTTTATTAAAAATACTCACTCGAAGGAACATTGATTAAATTATGAACACTTGTTAATCATGCTAGACTAAGATTAGTTCTTTAATATCAAAACATGATCATCATAAATTATTTAACACTTTCGAATTTAATTGACCTAAGGCGATTCTTCCCCTGGTAGCTCAAGAAAGTAATTAAGTTTGCTCTGTGTTTAGCTAGATCCTGGTTTTATGTCTGCAATAAATCATGTAAATCTCAACAACATCCAAGACATTAAACACAAGTTAATCTTAATTTGAAGTACCTAACAGAGAGAACACTAGTATGTCAACTGACTGTCTCTTGTTGGGTCTAGTTGGGGAGATTAGATTTAGAAAGAAAAAAAATATTAGGGAGGTTAAAATTTAAATTTCTATAGCTTTAGGATTAGAACTATAAATTGTTCAGGGGAGGCTGGAAAAAAATAATTCTGTGTCACTGTCTCCATCCCTTTTGTTAACCCGAATGCATGGATTTGATTAGTGTAATTAATAAACAATTAACCACTAGTTAGGATGTCAACAAGAAGAAAAAAATCATTAACACTGCCACGTTTTTCTCTCCTAAACAAAGCAAAAAAAAATGAAAGTTAACAGCACAAGAATGAGCCCATGATCAACCTGGATTCAGAGATCAGGGACTTTTCAGTCATTTCAAGCTCCTCCCCCACTCAAAATACACACACATTTAACCTAGACAGTTGTATGTATAAAAAGGTCATTTTTAATAGGGAAATCGTGGGACCAATGGTTTCTATTACTTTATTGACTCGTCCTTGCCATTTTGTCATACAATCCTTCCTCTAAGCAGACAGCTTGTTTCTGTCTTAAAAATTTCTCCTTTCGTCCTGCCACTAAACAAATGTTTCTTGTCTGTTCTCCTTCCCCCTCTATATACAAGCTAACCCTCTCTTCTCCTCTAAACAGCTACACCAACTCCCTCACCTCTCTCTCTCTCTCACTGTCTGTCTCTCTTTCTATCTATCTATCTATCTATCTGTTTCTGATCACATCAAAATTAACATCTTCAATATTAATGGAGGAACTTATGATGAGGAAACAACAGGCAGCTTGTATCCCTACTTCAATTACTCCATCGCCAATCACCATGCATAAAAACTCACACACAATAGCCAAAGTCAAGCCAAAGATACGCATAATTCACATCTTTGCTCCAGAAATCATCAAGACAGATGTCGCGAACTTCAGAGAGTTGGTACAAAGACTCACAGGGAAACCAAGTGATCAAAAGGGGGGTTGCAGGCAGAAAGCAAGAAGGGCAAGAACACAAGATCAACCAAGAAACTGCAACAGCGACTTATGTGAAGAAAAGCCTGTTATGACCAAGAAAGTTGAGCTGAGAAGTGGGTTTGGGAGTAGTCTGGGGTCTAGAGAAAGAGTTAAGGAGGAGGAAGAAATGTGGAATGGAGCATATTCAGGAAGCTTCCTCGGTGGATTTACAGACTTGGATGGCTTCATTCAAGAACTTGGTGAATTTCCATTGCTGCCAATGGACGCTAATCACATACATGAGCTTGGACAGACTCAACTTGCCTAGATCAATAATGGCTTTCCATTTATTCCCTTGCAAAAGCTTGATTATATCAGGCTCTTTTTTTTACTTTTGGATATATATATTGTGGATCTAATTTAGATGGTTTGATTAACTGAGTTCTTCTGCATATCATTATGTCCATTTTTTCTAATTTTCCCAATCTCTATTTGATTTCTCTTGATTTAAATACAAGGGGACAATCTTCTTTTTATTTTTTTCTAACTTGTAGACCAGAAATTGCATTTTCTGCTATTTGAATGTGATAGAAGTAAATTGAAAATATATTTTTCTTAATTTTCCTAAAATTTCTGATTGCTCTTGTTTCTTTCATTTGGGTCGACGGGGCCATGACTCATGTCTTATCTATGAGGGTCTCTCTCGCTCTCTCACTCATTGAAGAACATATTTAGGGTTTGGTAGAGACCACACATGAACGTGCAAAACTCTCACACATTTATATATATTTGATCAATAAATTACTTTTCTTGCAAGACTTATATTGTGTTTCAAGAATTGATTTTTATTACAGCTAGCCATCTCTCATTAATATCTTTGTCCATCGTGCATGCATCTGTCTCCTTCTCTCTCTCACTCTCTCTAAATTTTAGCTAATTATCCACAATTATCACCATATATGCAGTGAATATTGTCGGGATCTTGAGTGACTTCAAAAATTAACCCTAAGGAAGCTATCTGTGTAGCTTCACTATCAATACTAGTAATTGTTGGAATACGACATTTGCAAGTCCTCTATGTGAAATCATTTTTCCTGCTAATTTGAAAGATTATCGATAATCTTCGATTAACAATTTCTTCAATATTGTAAATTTTCAATGGCATTGTTTATTATATATCCCAAATTGCTTTTTTAGAGTAAAATAATACTTACCTTTTTTTTTGAGAAGTAAGTATATATATATATACACGCATTTTAATTTTCAATGGCCACTCAACAAAATCTACAACACCATATATTAATATACATAAGAAAAACACAAAACGAGCAAGTAATCTATTCGTCATATAGAGAAAGCAACTCCCACTATAAGTAGTTTATTAACTTTGATATGCATATGTTTTTTTTTTTGTTCAACTATATATATATATAAATTAACCAATAGATATTAATTTGCAACAATTAAAAAAAATTAATTTCTAAAGCTATCAAGTACTCGTATATGGATTCATGAAGGATTAATAAATTGATTCCAGACTGAAATATATATCCTTGTTGATTATAAAGTCTAATCTGTATTTGGCGATGTAAAACTTATATTGTCTATTTTAAATGCGTCGGTAGCAGAATAAAACGACAGCTTGATTATAAATATGAGAAGAAGAAATCGTTCGCTCTTTACAAATAAAACCCAAGTGTGTTGGTAAGATTTTTATTAAACAATGACTTGGGAAGAACAGTCACAAGTAAACGATTTTCTAAACTGTACGCATTTGCAAATTGCTGTCTTACTAGTTAGTGTTTGAGGCGGCTCGTCAAAAGGCAATTGAACCAGTACCCTTACCAAGAGCTAAAGGGTAACTTACTTGGCCATGCGTTAATGTTGAATATTTCTTAATTTGACGGCTTGGACCAGTGATCTTAGGCCACAACACCTCTTGGATCGATGAGGTTTTGTAGAAGGAGATCCCATCGCCATGGCAGGAAGAGCTAAGATTTAAATCCATGAGCTCCCCATATTCTAGGCCATGATCAAGTCCTAATGCGAACACTTGCAGGCCGAGGTTTACAAAGGTTCCAATGGGGTTTGAAAGCGTTATGGGTTCGAGGAGGGATTGTTTCGGGAATGGCATATCTGATTCTGACTGGTAAGGCTTGCCATTAGAACCAGAAGCGAGCCCCCGAGCAGTATAAAGGGATCGGAGGCCATAGGCTTCCACTATTTAATTTGTCGACAAGCCGAGAACAATTTACACAAGAATGGGAAGAAATCATGATTTCACAGATATCAAAACTACAACTAAATTGTAAAGAGATTTCTGTTTTTAATATTAAACTATAAATGCTAATTATTCTAATGTTAATAAGGCACACAAAATTGTTAAAATAATAAAATAAATCAGACTGACTAATAAAACTCGAATTAAATAAAACTCTCTTGAAAATAAGGAAAACTCTGAAACGTCAGCTTAGGTCTGAACACAACTTCATATGATGACATTTAGCTGACCTTTAGAGAACAAAGTTTGTAGAAATGCCTTCATAAAGTCCCAGCCCAATCTATCAGTCATATTAAAAATATTTATGTTCGTTTTCATCAACAAGCTTGATTTACTTATTCGTATTTCTTTTTAGATTTGGACCTGTCAATCTGGTTTACAATGTAATTTCCACTACAGCTCTCCCATGGTTACATAATGCAAGTCAAAGGGGCTAAGCATGCATGTAATCAATAGAATCCTCTTTGGAGATCGCCATTCTCGTTGCTTTCTTGCTTCTTCTTTTTTTATGTATAATGTCAATGTTCAGTTTCTGAGGCACTCTGAATTTGTTAAGTTGAAATGCCATTCAGATCTTTCCGACAATCACAAATTAAGAACACCATAAACTGATCGGCCCATCTCTTTGGTACCACAAATTTTGATACCTTCCCTCCCACTAATGGCTATTTCCAGCATTATTAACACCATAAACTGATCGGCCCTTCTCTTTGGTACCACAAATTTTGATACCTTCCCTCCCACTAATGGCTATTTCCAGCATTATTAATGGCTGTTGGCGATTGCCAGCCATGAGTTCTGCCAAAGTCAAAGATACCCGATTAGAAAACTGGGATGAATATCTAACTACATATGTATTGGAGTCCGAGGAAAGCCCAGAGTAGGAAGAACATGGACAAGAGGGCAAAAATCCCTCTCTCCAAGTGACGTAAAGGCAAGCTTTCGAAACAATATGCGTTGAGGTTTTAGAAGCATGACAGCAAAGCACATTGTCGCAACACCGCACGGCATCCTCGTAATCAATCATATTCACACTTCTCACCAAACTCTTAATATATTTTTCAATCCTCTACAACTTTTGGCAAAAGCTTTCATTTTCAAGCTTTTGTTAAATGATTTTATGCTTCGTACTATGGAACTGTACAGATTGCAAGTGGTGTGGGAAATAGAGAATTGGACAAAACCACGAGGGTTGAAATATGCGCAGATGGTGACCCTAAAACAAATCCACAGTATCTACCCACTAATATTGTATAGAAACCAACGACATGATTTCAGTCAATTAAACCTTGAGAACATTTCTGAGAGGAAAGCTTCATTAAGCTTTGTCAGTGAAGCGTTATATTTCCAATCAGCAAGCATTTAATGAACAAAATCAAATGAGCAAATAAGCATAGAAGGGAATGAATCCCCCATCTTATTGAGAGTGATTGAGAGAGAGAGAGATTGTTGACTCTACATTGTATTAGAAGGTGGAGAAAAAATAATAAACAGTCTGTTTTCAAACTCTAGCTCTCATACTCTGCAATGGGTTCTGCCATTAGAGAGGCTGGTGCCTCCAACCTTGTAACAACTTCGGGTACTCCAGTAGAATCCCTTAGAATCTGCGTAAAAAACCAGGAAAAGACTCATAATTAATTTGATAATGTCTACCCTTCCTGGTTCACGTTCCTACATATCTGTCACAAAACTAGCTGCTAATTCTTTGAGATTATCCTTTTCTTTCGCAAATGAATAATGTGGTTAAAATATAGATTTATGTCCATGCAAGGTATTTCTGCATGAACATCCTTTGGCAAAGCAATTACAAGTGATTGTATTTCACAGGCTATATCTGTACCGAACACGTACCATATTATGTGTTGAATCTAAAATGGCCACAAGAGATGATAGGAACGTGTAAGGAATGAACACCAAATGGACAAATTCAAGCTTCTTATAAGAGAGCCAGGAGAAAAGCTAGGAGACATCATTTATATGAACAGCCTCACCCATGATAGTTCTTCTAGTTAATAAGCACAATAGATGGTAGTCTAGAATTCCTAAAGATTCTTTTCTTTTCTTTTTTACATTATCACATGAGAAGGAAACATCACATGTACTTTTGAAATTTTCATATTTAATTCCTTTTGCAATTTATGCAAAGACTATTCTTGAGGTGCTAATAAAACAAAATTCAGATGGCAGATTAATCCTATATATATGCACTTTTCATCCACTTTTGCAATAAGAACACTTGGATTATAATCTAAGGACAAGATGCTTATAACTGCAAAATGATGCGATAAATCATATAAGTTGAATACTTACAAGTATCTCATCATCAAGATAAGAAATCATGAAGAGTCTCTGGAAAGTACTAGCTGCAGGCATAGAGAAATGAACTTAGCAATTTACAAACATCCAAGCATGAAAAGCACAGCATCATTAGGTATTATAACCTTATAAACCCTGAAACTCGAGTTTCTTTTCATTCAAAATTTGTTGCATTAAGAGGGATATTACAAGTAAATAACTCCCAGTACTATGAAAAAAAGAAAAGAAAATTAGAACTTTGAAATGAGATCATCATCCCGTATTCCTAAATCAGTTCCAAGGGATCCAATATATTTAAAGAGAGTGGAATTTCTAGACCCGTTACACTTAATGGATTAGAATTAATCTCCATTGCTAATGACATCATAGTAGGTCTAAGAACAACACATGCACAGCACACATAAAATGTCTGACTATTTATCATATACACTGCAAGGTAAACTTTTTTAAATACAGTATTCTAATACCATCCTTGGAATAGCGATGGAACACAATTCAGAAAAACACAAAAAACTGTAGATGAATTTAATTGATGATTATTGAGTAGTAGATAAAGAACTAATCAATGATAAATTAAAAAGAAAAACAGTTTTATTTGAAAATTCTTACATATCTACAAATAATTAGAAGCACAAATGAAAAATTTAGAGATGCATATGATATTCACAAACACCTCAGGATAGGTTTCCGACTCAAAATTTTGATTGTTTTTAAGAAGATTGGCAGAAACATTGCATATAATAGGCAGAAGAGCATAGAAAGAGTTAGACATCCTGAAATGTAGAACAGATGAGCAATGAGAATTTCAAGCTACAATTACAGCGTTATGAGTTGCTAGAAGGGAGCATCCCTAAAAAGTCCAGGACAATGGAAAGTTGAAGTTATTAGTCAAAGGGCTGGGGTACAGGGATAACAAAATGCCTGCGCTTCAGACCTTATATGGCTTGAGGTCCAGTGATTCTCTTTTCTTCTTTGCTGGCTAGGAAGAAGAATGCTAAATAAGATAGAAAGAAATGATCCAAATATCAAAATGCTTACATAGAGGAATTTTCAGCCCGCTAGAAAAGGCATCCCTAATAGAAACAGGAATCTGTTGGACTGTGCTAAGAGCCTGACCAAATGCACCTTTTAGCTGTTCAGGTACTGTTTCTTCAATGACTGTTGGTGTCTCAAGGATCCCTTCAACATATTCCTCTTTCATTCTGAGAGGTCCCTCCACTGTTAACTTGGAGGACAGAATGAATTTGCTTTCTATCTGCACACAGAAGAATTCAAACCAAAGCTCAGAAGCTTAAAACAAGAACAAACATAAATTTAAACGGTATCAACTGGAGGTTGTCTTCATCTGATCGTGGTCGCTATATCAATTCCATGATATTTATGGTTACTCAATTTCCATTACACAGATATCACTATCAGCAGTATGTCATCATTATAGATGTCAATTTAAGCAATAGTTAACTGTAGGACACTAGTTTTGAGGTGTATTTTGATCGGGCATAAATTTAGACCCTGCCACCTTGGTTTTAACTCAACTAGCCAACATCTTTATGAAGTACGCATCTCAGTAAGATTCTGCTTGTAGTATGCAGGTATAAGAAACTTCTCCTTTATTTTTAAGAAATTTAGTGCAAGGATGTTTTTCTAATTTATTTCATTGATCACACGTTTTTGCAGATATTGCGACTAGGGCATTCAAAGATGGAAGGATACCGAGTATAATAGTTTCATATGTGCAGTAACCTTTGCATTTCCTTCCTTAATCACCACGTCCATTTTGGACAAATTAGCCAAATTTGAAGGAAATCTCCTGCAACAAGCAAGACAATCAACTGCCATTCAAATTGACTAACCCAGTTGAAGTTAGGATTCCCATGTAAGACTATTGCAACAATAAAAATTATCACATTCCTCATAGGAGTTAGAAAAACATGAAAAATGAAATTTAGAAACAAAGACTTGTCAATATGGTACTCACTCAAATATAAAGCTGGCAGCAGATAATCCAGGGCTTCTGGCTCCAAACCACTCAAAATTCCATCGACCTTCCAAAAATGGTGACCTGTATATTGTTGAACAAGTAAACATCTCACAAAAACAACGTAGAAGCAAATTGAAGTGCTTTGTTAAGCACCTACGTAGTTGGTCTAGGTGTTGGATTAAGCCGCTCAAGACCAGTTATTCTCTCATTCACATCAATCCGCTGCATATCTGTTGTCTTTCCAGTGACCAGAGCTTCAAATCCCCCAGAATCTTTGAACTACAACAATAGCATAGCATTAGACAAACATTGAAAGAAAACCTTAACAAACATCAAGAATTTCCAAAGCCATACAATTTACTGTTTTAATCAAACAAACTATAAATGATCAACATTTAAAGCAAGGATATTGGTGTTTTCCATGTGAATAAGGGATTCTTTTTGAAGCTTGAGAAAGCTTATGAAGCTTAGACCACTAGCTTGGAGTCATACTGATTACATCATTTTTAATGGCAAAATGGCATTCCTTTGGTGGGACAATTGGCGCCAAGGGCCTATTGATCCAGGCTTTTGGGCAAAGGTTTGTTTTTTATTCAAATATCCAAGAAAATGCAGCAGTTGCTGCTGTTATTCAAGGAAATGATTGGACATGGCTTCCTGGAAGATCTGAAGCAAAGGCAGAATTACAGACAACCATTTGTGACATAATCTTTCCCTGTTCAGAACAAGTTTCATTGGCACAAACTGTTGCGGGCCCTCTTGACACATTCCAAAAAACATGCTTTACAGCTCTATCAGCTGTCCTAAAAAGGCTGCATCAACAAACGAAAGAAAGATATATACAGGAAAAGGCATTAATCCTGTCCATTCCCTATGTAATCAAGCATCACAGAGCAAGAACATTCACTTATTTTTCTCATGTCCAAATGCAAAAATAATTTGCAAGGAAAATAATCTTACATGTGGATTGGGATACTAAATTTTTTCAGTCCAAGAATAATCTGAGAAATAGCCATTTGTGTTTTTTATTTTTGCTAAAATTCACATCCCATATTCGCATGGCTTCATGTATATGCTATCTTGAAGGAAATGAATCATTGGGGGGTTATTTTTTAACAAAGAAAACAGGTTGTGAAGGTTAATAGAATGGTTCGGGATATTTTGATCGGAGTTAACATTTTCTTTTTGCAGGAATTGGGGCATGGCGCTCTTAGCTACTTCAGTTTTATACAGTTGATTGTTCAGCAACGTTTTTAGCATAAATAATAATAAAAAAAAAAAAAAAAAACATGTATATGCAGATGTCCATTCCAAAAAATTCAATTGTACACATACATCATTAAATTGCATCGAATTTAACCTCAAAACAGAGAAACGAATAAAGTTTCTTATAATCTAAGGAAGAGGAGAGAGATGGAGAGTAATTACAGCGAGAAGCAGAGATTCCTTAGCAGCGAGCCTCTCCATTTCCTTAGCATAGGTTGCTGGAGATCCTCCTTGTACAGCCTGCTGTACCATAGCGGTGCAGGCCATTCTCCGGCGGATTCCCCGGTAGTCGGAGCTCCTCCGGCAATTCTCTGGTAACTTGGTCAAAGATTGAAAGGAACAAAGCGAAGGAGAAAGCCGTGGGCGAAGAGCAGAGATTGAAGGAAGTGAGCATCCCTGAATTAAGGAAGATGAAGAAGCCATAAATTTGAAGAGCAGCTGAGATTTTTCTTTCGTTACTGTGTATTGTCTTCGTCTGTTTTGTCATGGTTCAAGCAAGAACCGGGTTTTACTCCTTTTTTTTTTTATCTTAAATAAATATATTCTATATTTGAGAATACATGAAAACAGCAGACACGTTAGATGTGATATAAGCAAATTATAACTCAGTTCTTGTTTTTCACGAGGATAATGAAGTTAGTCCTTTAATTTTTTTTCTCAATTTAAAAGCATTGTGTTAAACTCGGCTGACAGGTTGTTAAAATCACGAGTAAGTATTAAAATTTTATGATTTTACAAATCAACATGTATGTAACATGTTAAATTAAACTCAAAACTTGAAATCAATTAAATTAGACTTAACTCATTCAAAATCGGTAAAATTAATAAACTTGGTCTAATTTTACGAGTTTATTAAATTTATAACATAAACCATGTTAGGTTCAAATTTAATTTTAAATACCTACTAACTAGTTTTGCAAGATTGAGCATATATTTCAAATTATATATTAGATAAAACTAAAATTTTACATTGAAATATTAGATATATAAAAATATATTGTGATAAATTTTAAGATCAAATAGAAATAGGTAACATAATATTTTAGATGGTCAAAACTAGCAAATTAATATGTTAAACAAGATCTTCGTGTACTGTCTGGGACATCTCTAAAACTATTAGTAGAATTTTGATTCGATTAAATTTGAAATAGAAACTAGATATCTAAAATTTTCTAACTATATATTGTATGGTTAGTAATTTATTCAAACGAGAAAAAATAATATGTTTGAAATTAGAATTTAAATCTATAGAAAATATGCAAAAATTGAATATTCAAGCTACATAGAAGAATTTTAATATGAAGATTTTTTTTTACTATTCTATTTTTTTATTTGTTTAAATTTAAATAATTATTTTTAATTTAGATTTTTTCTAGAGTATGAGACATTGTTTAGGGATTTATTTCATTATTAAATTTATTTTAGTTAATTATTAATTTAAATTCATTAACTTGAAACCCAAAAAAAATCTATCAAGAATTATTGTGATGAGAACAACCAAGTTGTCATTAAATTTATGTGTGCTTCCTACCTTTCAGTAATTCTCTTATATTGAGAAATTTTATTCTAAGACTTTTTATTTCTTGATGTCATTAATTTACCGATTCATATTATTTATCTTTTTTATTTTATTTAGATTACTTATTGATTATAATATTGTTAACTTATTTTATTAGATTTTTAATATAAATTAATTTATTGACTAGAATTATCAATATGTAATTAGTTTAAAAAAAATTACTTATAATTTTACGATTCAAGTTTATTTTGTATTGTGCTTAATTTATAGTTTAATTACAGAAGATATTAACTTTATTAAATTTTTAATGATTAGATTAATCCGGCTAAACCTAATAAGTTAAAACTTAAAAAAGAAAAATAATTATTTTAATAAAATTTATAAATTTTAATTGATTTGGTGACACTAGTTAATAGAAAAACTCAATAACTCAAGTTCTTTTCCAAGTTAATTATTGTATTATATTTTATAATTAGATTTAAAAGGGCTAGATATATAATAATAATCTTATCAAAAAATAAATAAGAATGGTTCTTGTCTGTCCTATATTGTATGATACGGAATTATATTAAAAATATTAAGCTAAAATTCTAAAATGATAAACAACTAAGAAAACATAGAGATATAATAAAAGCAAAGATAATATGTATTTACGTTTTCAAAGAATTTTTAAAAGAAATTATTTTTTTATTTTAAATTAATATTTTTTATATTTTTAGAATATTTTAATGTGTTAATATCAAAAATAATTTTTAAAAAATAAATAAAAAATATTATTTTAATATATTTTTCAATAAAAAAATCTTAAAAAGCAATCACAACCCACTTAAATTAGTTACTGCACCTTTACTAAGTGAAAAATCTACAAATCTTTCTTGGTAAGAGAAACTTTAATTACCACTCCCTGTATAATTAATTCACTGAGGTTCCGGTGTAGTATTTGACATATAATATAACAAAAATAAATAAATATCATGTCAACTATTTATTTCTTTCCTCTGAAATTAATTATCCAAGAATATCATGTATTCAACTTGAAGAGTAGTATTATAGAAGGTATTGCTTTAACAAGTAAGAAGCTTTGGTGTGGATCATTAAAAAAAAATTAAAAAAATTAAAAAAATTACTAGTTTTATTTTACATCCATAACTTTGAAGGCAGACGGAGAAGGTGTGGATCGCTAATCTGTTAATAGCTAAAACAACTAATTTATTAATTTCTCGAAATTATAAGGATTAAGTTGCAATTTACTTGGGAGATTAAGTGAAAGGAAAGCACAGGCATGTCGAGTGGAGAGGAGGAGATAGCGTGACAAGAGAGAGAGCGAGAGAGAGACAGACAGCTACTTAAAAACATTAATGTTATGCCCACTTAAAAAAAAAAAATATTTTAGAACCAAAATATTAAAAATTAAGTTTTGATCCCTTCTAGAAAGACTTTATTAATTTCAACCCTTTAAAAAATTTTATTAGCTAATTATCTTATTTTTTTGTTGGTGTTGATATCATATCTAAAAATGATTTTATTAAAAATATATTAAATTATTTTTTATATTAACATATCAAAATAATTTAAAAACATAAAAAATATTTAACTTTAAAAATAATATCATTTTCATCAGGTATCATTTTTATGGCATATGGAGATGCGGGGGATCGAACCCCGTGCCTCTCGCATGCAAAGCGAGCGCTCTACCATTTGAGCTACATCCCCGTTCGGGTAAGGATGTCTCTTGACAGATAATAGATGTTATAGCTAGAACTATCATTTAAGGACACGCTGCGCCGATGGAGGGAGAGCCGAGTGAAAGTGCTGGCTGCTGCTGCTATTTGTTTCTGTTTTCCCGCCATGGCTGCAATGGAAATCGACACGGAGAAAAATCTTCAGAGAAAGCAATCCACTTACCAATCCCTGGTCACTATCTCCCGTTATCTCTTCCCATTCTTCTCTTGTTAAAAAAATAATACCAGAGGAGCTTCAAAGCTTCTTTTTGTTTTTTTGTTTTCTCAAAAGTGTTGCTAATACTGCAGGATGAGACATTTGAGATTCAAAATGAGACATACAGAGGTCAGCAATACAGTCAAATATACTTTGCTCGTCTTCACATGATGAGGACTCTGCTTTACTCTCTTGTTACCCATTGGAAACCCCATGTCCCTGGTATCTCTCTATCTTTCTTTTCCTTCTTTTTTTGTTGAATTGAAGTTAATTTTTGCATTTTTTGTTCGTTTAGGTGATTTGGGATTTGATTTGTTTTGTGTTTTGAGCTTAATTATGGTATTAAATGTTCTAATTTTGGAAGAGAGGGAGTATTAATTTCTGGAATAGTTACCTTTTAAGAGTAAAGTTGGGGTCTTTGCGGAGATCTTTTATGTAAGTGTCTTGTTATTTAGCTGATTGGCTGGTATGTAAGAGGGAATTTGTAAGTTATGGTGATATTTAAGGCTTAGGGTTTTAGCATTTGCGTTTCTTTTTTTCTTTGCCATTTCTTTTCTTTTCTTTTCTTTTATGGGTTTTTGTTGATTTAGTTCATACATAATTTGAAAATTGTGTCATTGGTTCTAGGATTTCAATGAAATTTGTTTGTTGTGAAGGTTTATGTTCGAGTTTGTGCACGTTAGGTCACTTTCTTGATGGGCACTGGCTAATTGTACATGGTGTTGATAAATTTTCTGGTTGGTTTGTTTTCCAAGTTTCTTCATTTCCCGCTTTTGTAAGGGTCTTGGATGTAGTTAGTTTGGATTTTTAATGATATGATATGATAACGCTAAATGGTTTTAAGTTGCATGGAGTAGTTTTTCTTAGCCAGCTTCTTTTTGTTGCAGTTTGTACAGTTTTGGAATTGGAAGAAGGCAAGGAATGCATCATTGTTGGAACCCTGTACAAGCACATGAAACTTAAACCTTGCATTCTTGATGAATACTCGAAGGAGGTACGTGGTTATTAATAATAATTTCATGATCTTATTATTTCTACTTTTTTCTTGAAATTGAGAAAAAAAAATTAGGTTGCTAAGGTGTTTGATTTTTTAAAAAAAACTTGAGTGCAATGTGCAGAGATCTGCATTGCCTCTTGTCAAGCCTCATAACTTCATGCATCCAGATGATCATTTGGTTTTGGAAGATGAAAGTGGAAGAGTTAAGCTTGGTGGCAGCGTGCTTTCACCTTCAGTATATGTCACAGGTATCTCTCATGCACGAGAAATAATGAACTCTTGTGAGATCGAATGCAGTTTGTTGGCAGATATTAGAGCAGCACAACTTCTTAATCTCTTTTTGGCAACAAATTGCTAAGGCCTGGTTGATCACTGTTCTTCTTGTCTTGCATTCATGCTTTTGTCAGGCATTTTCTGTTTGTGACATGAAAATCATTTGGTAATAATTCCATGATCCTCATACTTTTGTTTTTAAACATAAATATATGGTTGGACTGGAATTGTGTGGATGACTAAGTTAGGAATAGTTCTCGTGGAACTATTTGTTTTCTACAAGTTGATGAGCGATAATTTTTTAATATTTGCTTTTCACACATGTTGATTTTGTGGTGATGTGATGCATTTGATAGGTGTTGTTGTCGCTTTGCATGGAAAGGAAACTGATGCTGGTGACTTTATGGTGCTAGATGTCCTTGAAGCTGGTTTAGCACCACAGATAGAACCCCAACTTAAATCAAGTATGATATGAGTTATATTTCTGGCATCCATATTCATGATTTTTTTTTTTTTACCTGGATCAGATACATACATATCTTTCTATTTGTTGCTTATAAACGTCCCTATTCATTACATCCTTTTGAAGATGTATTCATCTGCATTGTCATCGATTTGCTTTGGATCTAATAAAAGCTTCATAGAATTGAAAGATAAATTTTAAATTTATTGGCAAACAAGTTGTATTTACAGAAGCATTTTGGAATTACTAAGTAGCATGGGGTTTTTGTTACAAGAAGTTTTAACATACGAGAAATACATTTGGGACTAGTTTCACCAATTATGACCTAAAAGATTAAAAAAGAAAACACAGTATAACTTAAAGATAAAAAAAAAAATGAGGATCAAAATCTTGTTATCCGTTGAATCCTTGAATGTGAATTTCAAGCTGCTTCCTTAGTAGATGAATCACTTATTGCCCATTTCAATAATGTAGACTTTGACCCTTCTTAAGTTTGATATTTGGATTCCATTTCCCATGTTATCTTTTTGGAGCTCACCTTTTATTTTTCTTTAAGTAAAATTGTCTTTTAGACTTAACACTTGTGTTTTCTGCTAGTATTGGTTTAAAGAATTCAATTCCAATTGTATACAGGAGAGGATAAGTATGTTGTTTTTATTTCTGGGGTGAATGCTGGGAGCAGCTTATCAAACCCTCTCCAATTTCAGCTTCTTGTGGATCATATAACAGGACATTTGGGAGATGAAAAGGTATTTGCAGTTTTTTTTTTTAAGGCTGGTCTGCTGCCTATCTTGCTTACTTGAAATTCTTAACTGAACAGGAACAGGGTATTGCTGCAGAGATAGTTCATGTTGTGATTGCAGGTAATTCCGTGGAAATTCCTCTTGGTCTTCTAAATGGACAGGTAAGAATTTTATACTTTTACTGTCTGCTTTATCCAGTTGCAGTTCCCAAGTTCTCTTTTTCAATTTTTGTTTTATCTTTCCATAAAATGCTTTGTGCTATTATCTTTGTATTTTTCTGCCTCTGTGAAATTGTGTAAAGTGAAAGCTAGTGCTCTGCTTAGATATAAGAGTAGCTTCCCTGATAGCAGCTATGCTATTTTTGCTACATTGATTAAACCTGAATGAAATATCGATAGCTGCAGAAGGAGAGAGAGACTATGCTAATTAGCTACTATAAGAATTAACAACCTATGTTGATAATTCGCTTTATGGGTTGAAATATTTAGTGGGATTTATTTTTTTTCAGAATTGAACATCCTACATTGTGTCATGTCACCTAAACAAGATAACCATCTTTTGTCCCCTGGTCATTTGGCAGAATTTGGCTTCGAAGGATCAGTCTAGGCTCTCTGAGCCAGTTCAAGAGCTGGATATTTTGTTGACTCAGGTTGTTTTTGTTATTTTGACTATTATATTTTAGTTACCTTTTGTTGTCCCATTTTGTCCTCCATTTGGATCTGCTTATCGTGATCACCTTGTTTAATACCTCTGTTTAGATTGCTGCAGGTGTGCCTGTGGATATCATGCCAGGATCCAATGATCCAGCGAACTTTTCTTTACCTCAACAGGTTTACCCTCTCTTTATCTTTTCCTTCTTTTGGGAATATATGTGCATCCTCACTTCAACTTACAAGATTTTTTTCTCTTTTCACTTCAGCCATTGAACAGATGGCTTTTCCCTGGATCCAGAGCTTATAACACTTTTAGGTCATGTACTAATCCTCATTGTTTTGAGCTTGATGGTGTCAGGTAAGAAATGAGTGCATAATTCAACAGCGAGCTGTGATAATTAGATGCATTTTGACAAAAAAAAATTTCTCTTGTCCTTTTCAGGATTCTTGGAACATCAGGTCAGAACATTGATGATCTTAAAAAATATTCGGAGGGAAAGGATGAGCTTGAATTTATGGAAAGGACGTTAAAGTGGAGGCATCTAGCACCAACAACACCTAACACACTCGGTAGAAACGCCTGCTATGCTATATATTTATGTTTTAACAGCATAAATTTTAGCAATTGATTTTGCATTTTTCTTATACAAGCTTGATTGTTTGGATTCAAACAAAGACATCAGGAATACTTGCAATTAAAATTCAACTTTTTTTTTTCATGAGCTCCAAGTTCAAGAATCCACTCTCAACAATGTTTTTCAGGATGCTATCCTTTCACTGATAGGGATCCTTTCCTGATTGAGAGCTGTCCTCATGTTTACTTTGTTGGTAACCAAGATAAATATGGAACTCGCATTTTAAAGGGTACTCTCTTATAATCTCCTACTTAACAAATAACGCAAAATAGATTGTGGTTGAATTTTCTCGCAGTTAAATTTAATCTTGAATTAATTGCAGGTTCAGAAGGGCAGTTGGTGAGACTTATTTCCATTCCTAAATTCTGTAATACTGGAATGGTGGTTGTGGTAAGTTTTTATATGTATTATATTTTTCCAGGGTCTGAAACAATTAAACCTGATCTTGTGTTACACAAGCTTTTATCATGCATGTTTACATGTGGATTCATGTCTTGCATTTTTTCTTTTCTGGATTTGTAGCACACGGAAGACCTCTTTCTGATTTACTCATCTTTTGTTTCTAAAATATATTTTTTCTTACAACAACAACGAGGCCTTGATCACAAACTATTTGTTGACTGGCTATTTGGATCCTTTACACCATTCAACTCGATAACAAACCATATCCCCACCAGCATCAAGAGGTTGAAAATCCCTCAACACCACTTCCATCCATGTTAAAATATTATTTCATTTAAGAGAGAAAATAGCGCTTCTGCTAAAATGAGAAGAAAAGGTAGTCTGTTGCTTGATGTTAGTGCCACTGGAAGATCTAATCATTTTAATAATGCAACCTGCATTCGAGGATAGTTAAGTCACTTTATCTTTGTTTGCTCAACAAAGTTTGTCGGAAAGATGAAAGCAACAGAGATGGATTCAGTGGGAGAATAAGGAATGTAAAATTGTCAGGGTTGCTCAGCTACTAACAATGTTAAAATGACTCTAGTTTACAAATGCGAAAGTAAATTACATTGTGCTCTGCTATAGTGCAGTCTTGGATTGCCATTCTTCTTAGCATGTTAAATTCTGGTTCATTTACGAAGTAGGAAAACTGACCAAAGAATGAGAAGAGAAATTGAGTGTTAGAAATTGGCGCTAGAATATAGTTTCATAACTTACTGTCATGAGATTGGGAGCACAAAATTTGTCCCTTTTCTCTTCCCGTCTGTTTTTTCTAAAATATCTATTTCTTTCCACAATATTTTCCAATAACTATAATTTCCATACGTTTTGCAGCTTAACCTGAGAAATCTGGAATGCCACACTCTTAGCTTTGGAACTCAATTCAGCTTATAAAAACACCACATGATGTATGACACTCTGTATTGCTTTAGGGTCTAGAACTGCTAGGACTTTTTCATTGCCTCGTCCGCTATATCTGAAGCCTTCATTGGAGTGGAGAAAGGTAAATTACTGCGATCAGTAGATTCATTGGACGATACATGATCATCGATAGGATGTGTATCTGCCAGCTGGTTCTTCATTGGTTCTCCAAAGGTAAATTATTCGTAATTTTGGTAGGCCTTCTTGTGAATTGTAAGGTCTTGTGTGTTTTAAAATGTAGTTCAGCTTTTTCTTAACTTGAAAATTGAATTACTCTTTGCGGGGTCAGAATGAAATGCTATTGGTAATGCCATGGTCTAAACTTTGTTGTTAATGTGATGTTCAAAAGAGATACGCTAATTAGCTTTGTTTTTTGATAGGGCTCCTTGTAGCTTCATAAACCCCACTCCCTCGTTGAGATTGAACTTAAAGCTGCTTAGTTCTAGTTGATCGTTAAACAGATTCTGAAGCCATGGACTCATAAAACGCCGCCTATCATTCAACTAGATGACCATTACACAGAAAGAAGCTAGTGGTCCATGAGCTCTTTTCTCTAAGCAGTTTGCCGATATAATGTTGCGGGCACAAGCGTTTTTATTTCTTTTCGCGTTGGCATGAATTATCCAAGAATCAACTTTATTTTCTTAGAGGAAATAATTGTTCCTGTTACGTCAAAGTAAACAAGCCCATTTTTCAAAACCCTAATCCTGAATTTACCAGGCCACGTATATGCTACTTGCAATTGTATCAGCAAGGAAATGGATGTAGCGCATTTCTGCTTGGAATCAATGTAAATCTTATCATATTCATGCACTAAGTCACATGACAATGCCAATTCCTATCATATTCATGCACTAAATCACATGACAATGCCAATTTAATGTTCCATTAACCCCATTATTCCCTCCTCTAACGGCTATATTTTCTATTTCAATTATTCAAATCATCCCTGTTTCTCAACGGTCCATTTCTCACATAACACCAAAGTCACTACCCTACAAAAGCAGCTCCTCCATATATGCACATTTCCCTTTCATCAAAATACATCCAGAGCCCTCTCTCTCTTCAAAATGGACGCTGCTAATGATAACTCTAGTAGGACTACAACAGTTCAACACATAACCAAGAAGTCTTCAGATGTTTTGCTAAGGAAATTTGCAGAAATGAGTGGTGACGACGACGACGCTAACGAGGCTAAGAAATTGGAGTTGGCAAGGGTGTTGAGAAGGAAGTCAAAAAGGAGGAGGACAAGAAGGGATATCGAAGGTGGCAACTCATGCGAAAGTCCATCGCACTATAATTCAAGTTCTACCTTAGTGGAGAGGAGGTCACTTCTTCCTCCAGTGACAAGAAATTCTGCACTGCTGAGGCAACTTGGGATTGGAAGGTCACAGCTTAAAGCAAGGGATATCAAGAACAAGTCAATCTTGGCTTCCATTAAAAAGGTAAGACATTATAATCATATTCATAATTCTCTAGCCATTCATCATTAGAGCAACATCTCCTTTCAGCCCGACATGTTTATTTCACTAATTACAATTTCTTGCGATGTAGACATGGCGCAAGACTTTAGAGGGAGCCTCAAAAGTACTCTTAGAGAAGCATTGCAGTAGACATAGGCGTTTGATCCACGATCTGGTGTAGACTGTGATAATACATCAGCAATATTATTCGTTTCCATGTGGACGTATAATCTAACACAGAGATCAGTTCATGGGCCCTCCAAAAATCACAGCATGCTAACTCCACAATCTCAAGAGTCTTCAAAAGTTCATTTGTCCTTGTCAACGCTTCTTCGTTCGATCCGTTGGCGAGTTCTTTGTTTCAATCACATGTGAATATATGAGCTAACCATCTCTAATCTCTGATTATATAATAAGGTGTTTTTCTAATTTAACTTTATATGTTTGATTGAGCTAATTTTATTCTTATATATACATTAATTTTTTAATTTAACATCTTAGTGAGGTTTTTAGACCAGTCTATAACGATTACTATGGGAAATGCACTTGATTTAGAAATTTAACACGTATTTAAACTTAAACTTATAATTACATGTAGATTACATAGCTGATTTTGATTTTGATGAGTTGGCTTGAAAATGTCATCCGAATAATAGATTATAAACAAAATATGTATTGAAATCAATTGTAAATATAATAATATATTAAAAAAATACTCTATTTTATAAAAACATATCATGCCATGTAATCTAAGTAATCACTTAGGATCGTAGTAGGTTTTGCTTGTAAATACTTTTTAAAAGTGTATTTGTTTTTAAAAAATTATTAAATTAATATTTTTTTAGTATTTTCAATAATTTTAATATATTTATATCAAAAATAAAAATTATTTTAATACATTTTAAAACTAGCTTTATAGTACTAAATTCACATTAAATACAATCCCTCACCAAACTATCATCTAGTTTGGCATGCAAAAGTATGGTTAAATTGCTAGTAGCTAGACATATATTAAAAGAAATTAAAAGAGATCTTTTTATTATTATTGTTCACCTACGTAAACTATATATATAACATTATGAATTATAATAATATTTTTTTAATTTTTAATTTAATCCTTAAATTTTTATTTTGCATGATCTAACTCTTTCAAGCCCATATTAGCATGCAATTACAAGTTTTTTTAAGAAGGGATGTTGAATTGAAAGACATAAAATTGAAATGAAAAAGACAAGTTGAATAAAAAATGAATTTAAAATTTATTTTAAAAGTTCATTTTCATTTTTTATTTTTTTGAACTATTAGGTAACCGGTTCTCTAATTTTTAAAAATTTAATTTTGATACTAAACTATTAAACGGTTGTGTTTAATGAATTTTTATAAGTAAATTCATTAAATATAATTGGATAAATAATCCATGTGACAAAAAAAAAAGAGCCCACCGTCACATGTCTCAGGCGTTGCCCTGCCCTTTTGTTTATCTCCTTCCCTTCTACTGATACAAACAGGAAAGCCGTAGTTGCCATGCCACCTTCTCAACCACACACGTCTTGCATCCTTGCTTTGGATGGTTGGGATTGCTTTGGCCATGTTATGCCAGCCACTCCTCTCCTCCTCCTCCACCTACTACTAGCCACCTCCTCATTGGACTGTTAAGTCTAGAAACTGCCATAAGAGTCCAAGTGAGACTTAGGTTTACACCATCCTGAGCTGCTGAGAATTTCTTGCTTAATGATTAAGGATCACGATGACATGCATCGAGTGCTAGGGCTTAACAAAAACCAGCCTAGTGATAATGATTTGTTAAATTGTGTTAGTGTTTTAAGATTCTAAAAAAATAAATGATAAAGGAAAGAAATGTGTTTGTTTTTCCTGTAAATATGTTTGCATCTCTAAAATGGTTATTTATAAACTTCTGGCAATGAATTTTAGTTTCATAAACTTAGAATATTTTTGTTTTTTTCTGCTGACTTCTTTTAATTTAATCTAATGTTATGTGGTATCCTTAGAGCTAATTTATATATTCGATAAAAATAAATAAATAAACAATCTAGATTTGGACTTCCAGTTCTTAGCAATGTCTACCAGTTCTTAGCAACACAGACCACCTCAGTTCTAAGTTTTGAAGGACTTGTGCTCCTTTGGCTTTTATTATTATTTCTATTGCTGTTGTCATCGTCATTACTGTACACTGTTATTTAACCAGGCCGGTGGGTAGGCTGGAATCCGGCGAACTTATCCTTTGCCCAGGCAAGGTGTCTGAAAAAGTCAGTCCAGACAGTTGCCTTTTTTTTTAATTTTTTTAAATGATACTTTTTAGATTAAAAAAATTATTATCCCATAGACTTATGATTAGAGTTTTGTTTTATGTGTATATTAAAATAATATTTTTTATATTTTAAAATTTATTTTTAAGGTTAAAACATCGAAGTAATATAAATTAATTTAAAATGAAAAATATTTTTTTTCGAAAAATAGTATTGAATAGTAAAAACAAACACGGCCCGAGTCTACGAGGATGGTTTAATAAATATCTTATTATATAATGGAATAATAATAAACACAACAAAAGGAAAAAAAAATTAAAAGAGAAAAATACTAAAGAGATTGTCAACTTTCTTCCCTGTAACTCTCTCTTTCGTCTTAACTAGCCAAAAAGTCCAGATCTTTCTCCACCCCACCCCCCCCCCCCCCCCCCCCCCCCCCCCCATCTGCTGAAGTCAGAATTCCGTACTCTTCAATCTCTGTCTCTCACTCTGCAACATGATCCATCAATTTTTTGTAGTTTCTTTTTTCTTGGAGTAATACAATCTCACTGTTCTATTTAAGTTGGCTCGTTTTGATCCCTTTCTTTTGTGGTTTCTCTCTCAAAGTTCCAATCTTCACTGCCCAGATCTTGAATTCTCTCAATCCATGCAATATCAAGGCCAAAATCTTTAAAGGGTCGGTTTATTTTTTGATTAAAAAAGTGGGTTTTGTTTTGTTTCTCAATAGGAAATGAGGGATGTTGTCGTGGCTAAAAAGGATAGCAATGGCTTGTTGGAGACCGGTGAGGCGATATGCACGTATGAGCAAGGATGAAATTTTAAATGATGATGATGATTCTGCTACTCCTGACTCTCTTTTATGGTCTAGAGACCTTGAGAAACACTCTTTTGGAGAGTTCTCTTTTGCTGTGGTTCAAGCCAATGAGGTTATTGAAGATCATAGTCAAGTAGAGACTGGTCGTGATGCTACTTTTATTGGTGTTTATGATGGTCATGGTGGACCTGATGCGTCTCGGTTCATATCTGACCATTTGTTCTTAAATCTCATGAGTGAGTGTTTTTTTTTCACTGGTTGTTTGTTATTTTTCTTAGGTTTGTTCATGTGCTTAGGTGTTGAGTTGAATTTGACTTTCGTGGTATGATTTGTGGTTTTATGTATGGTGTTAATGTAAATGGATTTTGTATGCTTTAGAACAAGTTTGGATTGTTTATGTTAGTTTCATTGACTTTTTTAAATGAAATTGACTTTTACGAGGTTTGGTTGGGCGAATTTGTTAACCTTTGTATTTGGTGCTAATCTGAAAGGAATTTGTACTTCTCTTTGATACAATTTTGGTGGGTTCTCTACGAATTTGATTGTTGGTTTTTTTGGGAGACGAATTGATTTCTTTTAAGTGTTGCTGCCAACGTCAACTACTTCTGGTGTTTCTTTACATTAGTTTTTGGGATCAAGTTTAGTATTTGGAGGCAAGATTTTGGAGATCTATGGTAAGAATGGTTTTCATATTACGGTTATGTGGATGGATGCTTCTTCAGGACAACCTGCTGTTTTGAACATGTCCCCCTCTCTGGTTGCTTGATCTACTAGATAATGGTGTGATTACCGAAATGGAACATAATCCGTTGTTCTGTAGTTGCTCGTGCACCCTTTGTTCGTTTTCAGGGAAAGAATTACATAAAGGGAAGTATTTACTAACAGTATAGTAACTCTTATGGCTGGTGTTTCAATAAATGTTTTTCCAGGCAACGTTCTCTATGTGATGAGCCTTGATCAATTATTAATTTGCAGGGCACGCTAGAGAAAGAGGAACCATCTCTGAAGATATCCTTAGAAGTGCCTTCTCTGCAACTGAGGATGGGTTTCTTACTCTTGTCCGTAGGTCATGTGGAATAAAACCGTTGATTGCAGCAGTTGGATCTTGTTGTTTGGTTGGAGTTATCTGGAGGGGGATGCTATATGTTGCTAATCTCGGTGATTCTCGAGCTGTAATTGGTTCTCTAGGTAGGTCAAGTAAGGTAGTTGCTGAGCAGTTGACCAGGGATCATAATGCTAGTATGGAAGAGGTTAGACAAGAACTCAAGTCCTTGCATCCAGATGATTCACATATTGTTGTTATGAAGCGTGGAGTATGGCGTATCAAAGGCATCATTCAGGTTTGTTTCGATTCTTATGATACCAACTGCGTTCTCGCATGGAATCTATGATTAGATTAGTATTCAGGGTCTCTCCAGTTTGTTGTCGCTTAAGGTTGTTTTTCAATCTGGAAAATTTCCTTGCTTCATTAAGCAAGTGGGTAGAAATTTTGGTGTTTATAATTTATCACTTGTCTGGCTAAGGGTTTTACATTTTTTTTACATAATGCAGTATAACAATGCTAGAAAAGTCGGCTCTTTTTTTAAATTATCTTCAATTGCATTCATAAACAATTCTGGTTCATGCTTACTTCACTAATGATTCTGAAATATTTTGGGAAAATGATAAAGAGATGCTGGAATATACAAGTTTGTAGTTCTTATCTTCGTCAAAATCCCTCCCCTCCCTCCCTCCCCTTTTCAGTTTTCCAGCAAATCATTTTCTGTGGATTATCCTGATTCACACAGCATCAGGTATTTTTTATATGATACTCATCTATATTATTATTCCAAATAAATTGACTGGCAAAAATTTTTAAAGCTCTGTAGGATAAGGTTTCCCTAGTAGATTTCTAGGCTGTATAGTCTTTAAAAGTGTTAAATGTCCTTAAATTGCGTTGCATGTTGAAAACCAATATAAGATGATTAGGAATCCATCTATGCGGTATTTTCTTGAAACCATACATTTACCTAGTTCATCACACTTGGAGGAAAAATACTTGATTAACTGATCTTTGCAAGTGGAGGTTTGCCACTTGGAAGCATCCTCATAACAAGACAAAATCTAAATACGGTAGCCTCTTTGTGGAATTCTTATTCTGAGGAGCTGTGGAATAAAAGAGCAATATTCAAATGTTGTTGGCTGAATTTTCTTTAATCATTTTACTATCATATGAGATGAAATTCAACCTTTCAGAGCATATATGTTGCGTGTGTATCATACATGCTAAGTTCATTGTACAAGCTACCTATGATAAGAGAACTGGTTTATTCAAATTTATTTTATCTCAAAGTTAAAATGATTTTCAATTGCCTGTTAGATTTTTTCTGTTTTTCCCATGCATATCAGTCAGTTTTTTTCCAATTATTAATGAGTTATATTTCCTGTTGGTTTCTCCTGATGAATTGTTTAGGTTTCTAGATCTATAGGTGATGCATACTTGAAGCGGCCCGAGTTTTCTCTTGATCCTTCTTTTCCACGATTGCACCTCCCTGAACCCATTCGCCGGCCCGTGCTAGCATCAGAACCATCCATGTATACAAGGGTTTTAGGACCCAATGATAAATTTGTCATATTTGCATCTGATGGACTGTGGGAACAACTAACAAACCAGGAGGCAGTTGAGATTGTGTGCAATAATCCACGAGCTGTATGCATTTAGCTCCCAGCTCATTTCTTTTTGACCTTCTTAACTTCAAGTCACTGATATTTTCCTCCTATTATCTTTAAATGTCAGGGAATTGCTAGGAAACTAGTCAAAACAGCTCTAAATGTGGCAGCAAGGAAGAGGGAGATGAGGTATGATGATCTTAAGAAGGTTGATAGGGGGGTCAGGCGTTTTTTTCATGATGATATAACAGTAGTTGTGATCTTTATAGACCATGAGTTGCTAGGGAATAGTACATCAGCACCAGAGATGTCAGTACGAGGGTTTAACGACACTGTTGGACCCTCAAATTTTAACATTCTTCAAGGAATTGATGCAAATGCCCGGTCCACTATATAAACTAGCATCATTTGAATTGTGCAGTCTAGTCAAAGAAGAGTAAACTTGGCAAGTTTCTGTTGTCGTTCCTTTTCTTTTTCCTTTTCTTTTTTGCCACATTTTACTATATTAGTTTTGTTCCCTCCCCTTTCTCTTTTCCAAGTTTTTGTGGGCCGTTGAGCCTAATTTCTTTCACTCTGATACTATGCTCATGTTGAGAATTCTTATGAGGGGAAGCTACAGATTTTTGGATTTAACATGTGGACTCAGTATACATCTGAAATTTGTACTATTCATACGCCATGTTCATTAAAAAAGAGTGCTCATCCGGTTAATTTCCATTGATTCTATTGATGCAGTAGGTCAACCTAATGGAGTGATTCGTAATATTTCGAGCAAACAATAATGAATGATTATAAAGCATGATCTGAGGACAATAATTAAGAGTGAAGTTTATGATTCTCCAGGCCTACCTTTATAGTTTTTACAACTCTACTACCAGCCAACGTTCAAGCTTTCAGGGCATTTCCAGTATTCAGGTTCTGCGTGCAAATGAAGGTCTGACCATAATCCACCGGTGCTGCAATGGCTCCTCCTGGCATGGTTGTGTGGTTTCCAATTTATTCTATGTATTGACAAGGAGTCGTGCCAGTAAATATTTTATACCGAAATAGCTTTCATTTCAAGAGCACAGATCTTGCTAGCATCGCACTCTTGTTGGACCATCCACAATCGTGTCTTAAGAGATGCTACAGAAACGCCCATTGTTTATGGGCACTACTACTCTTGCTGGGTTTATTTATATTAGCATATCATCAACACGTTCTATACTCAAAGTCGAAGCATGTGATGTTTCATATAAAACTCAGAAGGACTTCATAGTGACCAGAAATGGCTAAGTTGATTCGCTTTCTCAGAATAACAGTTTCTACTCCTCGCCGAGCCTCGAGCAGGCTTCAACGTATCATCAGCAACATCCTGCTTGTTTTGTGTGTATCATTATTCACTCAACACGCAAGCATTGTTGGCAGATGAACCAGAAAGTAAATAACAAAACCACCAAAAAATCTCATCCTCCAAAGGAAACGATGCAAGAACTGCGTTGCTAGTACGCATGAATATGAATACAAGTACTGGTTTTATTTAATAAAAATTTCTTAAAGAAACAATAAAATAATGAATCTGAAATTAACCCAAACCAAATCAGTTACATTACACAACTCTTCTACAAATCCAATAACAAATTAAATAATCGAATCTTAAATTTGATCCACTCAACCTCATTTTTGTTGTCCAGACATTGACGGAGCAAAACACAAAAAAGAAAAAAAGAGAGAGAGAGAGTGAAAGAGGTGACGAAATGCAGAAGATAACTTTGCAACCACTTGATTAGAAGCCTTCTGTAATACAAAGTGTATATAGTATGTATTTGTCCAAGAGCCTCTTGCTTTGCATGATTAAAAGCACTTCCTGTGGACAATTGATGGCCCGGACTCATCATACTCAGCCTTTGCAATCCACATCTGCACTCAAAAGAAAGTAAATTTCTCCAATCAGATTGGAAAAGCACAGTACAAGAGTCAAGTGCTTGAATCCTGATTATGGTAGATCAAGAACTCGGATACAAACTTCTGACAACATTGCGTCTCTTTGAAGCTTGGCTATCATTCTAGTTACTCCTTCCAATCATCACATAAAGATTCATGTTCTTAAGCATGTAACGTATAATAACACTAAACAATACTGCTAAAGCATAACATTGAAGATACCAAAACGAGTAGAATAGGTTAGAGTTCAATTCTGTTTGCAGCTCAAATCTAATAAATAGACACAGTACCTGCTGGAAGGTGCTGAGGGATGCCAAAATGGAACCTCCTATCCAGACACTGTACTTCCTTTCAGGTGGTGCAACCACCTTAATCTTCATGCTACTGGGAGCTAATGCTGTAATTTCCTTGCTCATCCTATCCGCAATGCCTGGGAACATGGTAGAACCACCACTGAGGACAATATTGCCATAGAGATCCTTCCTAATATCGACATCACACTTCATGATAGAATTGTATGTTGTTTCATGTATGCCAGCAGCTTCCATTCCTATCATGGATGGTTGGAAGAGGACTTCAGGACAACGGAAACGTTCAGCTCCAATAGTGATAACCTGCCCATCTGGCAGCTCATAGCTCTTCTCAACAGATGAGCTGGTCTTTGCCGTCTCTAGCTCTTGTTCATAATCAAGAGCAATGTAAGCTAGTTTTTCCTTCATGTCCCTTACAATTTCACGCTCTGCTGTGGTTGTGAAAGAGTAGCCACGCTCAGTCAAGATTTTCATGAGGGCATCAGTGAGATCACGACCTGCCAGGTCAAGACGCAGAATGGCATGTGGGAGGGCATAGCCTTCATAGATGGGAACTGTGTGACTCACACCATCTCCAGAGTCCAGAACAATACCTAGCCAAAACACATAGATCATGAAAAATGTTATTTCACCTAATTTATCTCTACAATTAAAGATCCCTAATGTAAACCACCAAGCTGGATTACCTACATGCTTGTCAAAGACAGTTCTTTGGTTTTCATGATCATGATCCCTGTATATATCATATAAAATTCCCCAAAACCAAATGTGATTATGACCAAGGGTGAAAAATAGATCGTGTTAACTTACAAATTAGAAACATTGAGGTTTGAGAAGTTATCCAAGACATTCCATTTTTTTTTATCATGATCTACATAAATTTCTTTCCTGAAATTTATTTTTTCAACCAATCACCAAAATTCCGCCTCATTCCGAAAACTTCCAATGCAACAAGCAAATAACAATATTTTTTTCCGTTCATCAGTTTGAACATAAAAGCAAATAGAGGATGGACCACTCACCAGTTGTACGACCACTGGCATAGAGGGAAAGGACAGCCTGGATAGCAACATACATTGCAGGAGTGTTGAAGGTCTCAAACATGATCTGGGTCATTTTCTCACGATTGGCTTTGGGATTAAGAGGAGCTTCTGTAAGGAGAACCGGATGCTCTTCAGGAGCCACACGGAGCTCATTGTAGAAGGTGTGATGCCAAATCTTCTCCATATCATCCCAGTTGCTAACGATACCATGCTCAATTGGGTATTTCAAAGTCAAAATACCTCTCTTTGATTGAGCCTCATCGCCAACATAGGCATCTTTTTGACCCATGCCAACCATCACTCCAGTGTGGCGCGGGCGACCCACGATGCTTGGAAAAACAGCCCTTGGTGCATCATCCCCAGCAAACCCAGCCTGAGATTTCCAGTCCAAATCAGTAATCACAACCAATATCACTGTAAGAATCAAAACTTTAAAATCAAAAGTATATCACAAATTCACAAACAAATCTAGCTAAATACCTTGACCATTCCGGTACCATTGTCGCAAACAAGAGGCTGAATATCCTCACTCTCTGCCATTTCCTCTCACCTGCCACGTTCAAAATGCCACCTTACATTAAAATGCTATACAAATAGGGAATCACCACAATTTAATGCACGATTTTGACAAAAGAGCATGATGATCCCAATGGAAAGAAAAATAAAAGGATCCCATTTCCTTTTTACAAATTATAATCAAAATCTGAATGTTCATTTTGTAAAATCACATCAAAGATCAAAACTTTAGCAATGCTAAATCACAAAATAAAATTAACCCACATTTAAAGATCAAATCTTTTAATGGATTGACACAATGATGTTATAATCTGAGCTAAACCCGGATCAGAAAGATGAAGAATTTTGAAATTCAAACAGCATACCGTTCAGAAAACTGAATTGTTCTTCGTGTTTCTTTCTTCCTTCGCTGTGTGTGAGCGTTCGTTCAAGGTACCCGCCCTCTTGTTTTAAAAAAGGGGAAGATGTGAAATGAAATTTCAGCCTCTGATGAAATTCAACTTAAATGAACTTCAAATTTGCTTTGGGATGATCTTGGCCGTTGGTTTCGAGCATCTGATCTACGGACCCCATGACGCGTCATGCTCCTTGTGTACACAGCTGGCTCGCTTTCGGTTGTTTTATTCGTGTGGACGGATATGCCCTTGGTATTTGTTAAAATGCCTCATTTGGCCTCTCGTCCTGGGCCAAGGGCATGTTGGTCAGGCAAGCCTTTAATTGTGGGATTTTGTTAAGGCTCTTGACCATTCTCTCAAATCTCAATTTGACCATTTCATTGCTTATCATTCATGGTTAGTATTGCGTAATTTTTTTAATTAATGTATTATAACATTAAAGATTCATCCATGTATGATTAAAATATTTATTTAGCTTTGTGTTTTAAATAATATAAAAAAATATCAATTTTTATCTTAGTTTCATATGCTATGGTATAGTTTTTTTCATTTTAAAAAGTTAAAATACTAATACTTTCAATTACAAAACTCATCAGTGTAACTAAACCCTAATATTTTGTTGTTTTTTTTCTATTTTAGAGTATTCTGAAGTATTTTTCTAAACAATTGGGAATAAAAAGGTTAAAAAATGAAATTTAGCAAAAAACAATTAGGGCATTCCCATCCCAAATTCATTGCATTGTCTTTGACCATGTTTGCATTGCTTTTTTGCACAGGACAGTTACCTTGCTAGTGGTAGTCAGTTGAGATTAGAAACCCTGTTAAACAGGAAATCGTGATTAGTGTACTTGGAATTCCATAACTACCCTTCTCAATTATAAAATTGACAAAAATAAAGGCATGGTTGTGGCCTTTCATCGCCGAGGGGTAAATTAGTCCTTAAAAAAGGACCCCGCTAAAAAAAAGCAAAATTTTATAATCAAGCAAACCTCTTTTTCGTTATTATTTCACAGGAAAATAAAAGGGAAAAATAAAAATAAAAAATAAAAAGGAACTTTAATTGCCAACTCAGCATTGCTTTTCCAACTGTCTGGAGATCATGTCGGTGTGTCTTTTCAGGTGTTGTCATGCCCACCACTACCTGTCAATAACACCCTTGATTTTCGCTTCCTAGCAGCCGAGCCGTCGTTGACTAGATGAATCAATCAAGGATCCAACGGCTGACATTGTATCTTGCTAAATGAGGCATATGATGTGCCGTGCATAACAAACACAACGTGGGACAGATTTATGGTTGACCACTTTTTAATTAATCAGCCGCTAATTGTGGTTGTATTTTCTGTAATTAGAACAGGAGAGGATAAAAATGCTGCCTGCTTTCCTTTCTTTCCTCTTCCTTTCTGACTTTTTTAAGAGGGCAATATCCCTCCTCTTTTTTTAGCCACAATAATGGTGGACTCTGTTCAAACTTAAAAGCATGGTTTATTAATCTAATTTAAAAAAAAAATTATTATTTTTTAAAAACACCAAGATTTTTATTAACTCGTCTCGGCTGAAGCAGGGTTGGAGGTAAAAGA